GCATCTATATTCTTGTGAACCTTCCCCATGACATTGCTTTGATTTACTCTTTAACAGTGCCTGAAAGGCCATTAATGCAAATATTTGCTTAGGTTAATTTTACACACACGGTTAAGTCAAGCGATTTGGTTTTACTTACATGAACTTGAATGGGATTACTCACTTGAGTAGAGTTACTCATAAGCACAAATCTTAGGATGAGACCATAAGACACAACAGCACTACAGATTTGCCTTATCCCATTAGGGACAGTTAGAAAAAAAACTGCCTTACCTGATGTTTTCTCTGTGAACACCACCTTGGACTCTGCTGTGAAATTTTGTCCAGTCAGGATCATCTGTTGTCCTCCATAAACGAGGCAGCTATCAATATCTTGTCTTTCAACCATTGGAAGTTCATGAGCAGACCTTTGGGCTGTGGACAAATTGCAGACATGAATGAAACCAACTCTGTTTTACCAGGACTTTCCAAATCTTCCCAGAACTATCCACAGATCGATCTTGTCATCGTTACCATCCATTGACTGCCAAAGCAGCTTCTCCAGGGTGCTAAATTTAGGTTTGAGAGGGAAAAATAAACTTACTCAAGGCATTTTATTTGGAAACATTCAGGAGCTGGCTGCAGCGTTTCAGCTGTGCTGGCCTTACTCCTTGTCCTTGAGAAAGGACAGCTGGGATGAATGAGCTGGAACTTGCCCATCTCTGTTTCCAAATAAATGGCCAAATTTTCAAGTGCAGGCACACTACAGTCCTGGAGCCCAAAAATTCCACCTGCAGAGAGGATTCCACTGAATAACACTGAATTCCTTCAGAAAAAAAAATAAAAATAAACCTCTTCTACAAAAGCCCACCGCCTCCTACAGAAAAGGGACTATGCCGGGCCTGGAACAGTCCATTTGCCAACAAAAGCACTGTCTCCATGTGCAGGCACCGAGACTTGTGCACGCAACACGAGGGGCAATCACGAAGCCGCCTTCGCGTCGGCAAGCAGGAGGGGTCACACCGGGACTCTGCTGCAGCCTGGGCTTTTTGCAAGCATGCTTTGCAGCGGCCTGAACGTCTGAGAAGCAGGGCCCTGTGTTGCAGACTGAGTTTGCTTATAAAAGCCAAGGAAGGAAAAGGTAGGGTGGAATCCACATGGGCATGTACGTGACCAAGGATTTCTAAGGCCTTTACTGTTCTTGGCCACGAGCTTGGAGCGTGACTTTGGCAAGTTATTCTCTCTTTTCCCAGCCAGAAAACCAGGGTAGCACCATCTCTCCACCTGCTTTCCTCTCATCCCATTAAAACAGCCATTTGCATGGTCAGAAAAGCTTCAGAGAATCCTGGTCACCATCCCTGCAAGCCCATTCCAACTGTTTGCTAACAAGCAGCAGAAGCCGAAGAAAGTAAAGATGCGAGAATTGTCTCCTACACCGCAGACAGCTGGAAACTATCATTAGCTTGAAACTATCATGATCTTCCCTGTGACCAGACCAGGTGGGCAGCAGTTTGGATCTCGTGAACTGCGAGTTCATGACCTGCACTCAAACTCCTCCAGATTCATCCACCCCAACTGGAAAGGCCTCTAGAGGATGCCTCTCATCTATTTAACAGCTGCCTTGGCTGGATTTTAACTTTCTCTGACAAAGAGCCTGCTCCCAAGAGACCCTGAGCACTTGTGTCTTCCCTTCACTGAACACCGTTGGCTGCTGAGCCAAAAATAAGGAAGTGTTATCCTGTGTGTTCAGCGCTGGGTCTCTACTCGCACACAGGCAAGGCTGTGCTTTCTGCGACCTGGTCCCAGCACACTTTTACTGCTGTGCAACCTTCAGAAAGCCGAAAACCCAGGAGCTCTTGGCTGCAGTGAGAGCTGTACAAATTCTCTCACCACATGAAGAAAATGCTAGAATATTTGGTGGGAAAGCGGAAGCGTTAAACCTTTCAGACAGGTGTCTGTAGAAGAGGGGCGCAACTTTTCTAGCAAGGACAAACTCAGCTGAACCCTTTCTGCCAGTCATGACACAGAGTTTTTGCTCTGGTTAAAAATATTGATCATTCAATATTTATAACTTTCTTGTGCCATTTGAGAGGCATTTTAAAAAAATCTATTTAAAACAACCTTATGACTCATTGTTCCCTTCAACTATACAACAACAGCTGGGCTAACATACTGCCAATTAAGAATATATATTCAGATTATTTTCACAGAAGCTACTAATTTCTTTCACATGGCCGTATGATTAATTCCTTTCCCTAAATACTCAAATTTTTGATGAGTTCATAATTGGATTTATCACAAAGACAGATTTGTAACCTCAAAGGCTTAAGAGTAAATAGCAATCATCAAAAACATGTCTACAATAGTCAAGAGATAATGTATTTAGGCTTTGCCCTGGACACTGTTTATTCCTATTCAATCCCCAAATTTCACTCCCAAAGCATCCCAAATCATCAAAATTCCAGATTAACCTACGTCTCCTACAGATTTCAGTGTGTTAGTATAGAGCTTTGTACCTGACATCCCACAGTTTAGTGGTTCTCAAGGCTTTTTCAGGACGAGGAAGGACAAATTTTAGCCTGGAAATAACCGTCTGACTCATCTTAATTACATTTGGATCTCGGCAAGTTGGAAATCGCTGCTGAAGACCAAGTCTCTGTCCAACTTCCATAGAGCGCAGTGTTTGTGTACGCCGCGACCTACCAGGGAGCCGGGGAGGACAGCCGGTTCACCAGGAATGTGCATCCCGGCTCTTAGGAAACGCCAAAAACTCTTTTGCCATCCTCAGCTGAGCTGGGGTGGCCTCAGCAGTGCTGGCTGGAAGCCTGTGATGGGCAGAGATGTTCTGCAGGTACCCCGATGCAGGTCCATGCTGCCACAGCCCCACAGCCAGCAGCAGCCAGGCTGATGCAGAGCTATGTTCTGGCATGGCTACAGCACAAGCAAGCTACGAGCACCTCCAAAACAGCTTTTGCCCTGACCCAGACTTGATCACGCCTGTAGGTGTACAAAACCCACATGTGCTTTATATGTGCAGCAGAATAATACCATCTGGAAGCGTTTCAGCTGAGTTTCTCAATGCAGATATCGTGCTAAAGGGAAAGGTGGAGGAATACAAGTACCTACTGAGCGCCGGGTTTCCTCTGCCCCATTTTGCCTGCACTCTTCTCCTCCCACTATGTGGTTTCCAAACCCTTTTCTAAAAAAAACAACTTTTCATTTTCCAATGAAAATCTTTTTTTTTACCCAGGCCTGTAAGAAGGTTTTATCCCACTCCCCATTTCCACCAGTAACGAGGCTCAAGGTTCAGTGTGGAGCTGCCTCAATAGGATTACTTTTTTTTCCTCTGCAAGAAATATTAATTGCCAATAAATCCCCTTCCTCTAAGGCTCATGATGGGTGGACTGCATGCAATAATTTCACACTATTCCTTTTCTTCCCCCAGGGGTTGGCACTTCATAAAGTGACCTACAGCTACTGGAGTTTATGAGCTTTGAATAAACAAAACTCTGTTGATTTAACCAGTTGGGGTGTTTACTTTCAATAGCAACAGTTACTGACATAAGGCAGCAAAGCAAATGCTACAGAAATACTCACACTTGGCCTGAAGCAGTGTGTCAACCTATTAACAGGGGACGTTATTTTTCTATTTTATTTGACTGTCTGCAAATCAAGATGTCATGGATGCATGGTGCCAAGAAATACAATGCACACAGCGACACAAGAGAGAAAGGGAGCTGCTGTCTCGGAGCGCTGCACCACCTCCAGTGAGCCTCAGCCTGGGAGGGAAGCAGCCCCTCTGCTGCCTCCCCTGCCCGCGCCGCTCGGCAGGCCTGCTGCTGCCCACAGCCCACCCAGGCTCATGTGCACCCGCTGCAGGGGCACAGGGCGCTTCTCGGGGGGGTGAGCCTTTATCCCCTTCCCTATGCCAGCAGGTGGAGGAAAGGGGCCGGCAGGCTGAGTGCTTCACAGGGGATGCACAAGCCTGGAGGCTGACTGAAAGGAAGTGTACCAAGGCAGGGCGAAGGTGTTTCTTTCTTCCTCACCTGCCCGCAGCATCCATAACTGTTCCTTTTTCAGCAGAGAGGCTATTTGGTTTCTAGGGGAAAAAAGGGATATTTTGAGACAACTGATTACCTGGATAAGTCTGTTGCAGCTCCAAATCTCCCCCAGGAGAGTGCTGCCCATTGCTGCTAGCAGGTTCCAAGTGACAACCTCAGTTGTATTCCCTAACGTGCTCCTTAGGTGATCCCAGCTCCACCTGAGAGCCCCTTTCCCTCCACGTCTCCCAGCTCTCCCCATCAGTGCTCCTCCTGCACGTATCTCCCGGGATGAGCAGTTCTAGCCCAGCCTGAGCATCGTGTTTCCTTCCACCGGCTTGGAAGCCTTCCAAGCACTGCCTTGTCTTGCCCAAAAGCTGACTAGTTTTATGAGGAGTCTTAACTGAAGCTAAATGTCTCTTAACAGCCTCTGGAGAGGAACCGTCTCTGCAATCCCTCTCCCTGCGTGTGCAATAAGAGTAAGGGCTGGATCAGGTAATGTAGGCAAAGCAAAAACACTAATGTGATCTGCCTCTCGCGAGGAACAGTCTTGTGAACTCTGCGCAGAGCAGCACGGGTCTGACCATCACTTCCAGAGCGAAGATACCCTACAGCCTCCGTGTATCAGCGTGCTATCTGAGTGCCACCTTCTGCAGAGAGGCTGGAGGCCTCCATGCAAACCTCTGCATAAACAGAGGCGAAAGAATAGCTGCTAGAGTGAAATCTGCTCCATGCCATCTTTCTGCTGCCTACACCACCAGATCCAGAACTTAGGTTTACCTGTTGTCCCTGTTACCAGTTCAGGAGAGATCTTGTCCTGGGCAATCACAAGGATTGAGGCTCACCTGCAGCTAGTATCATCTCTAATTATCTCTAACTGCCATCACAAGCCAAGTAAACCAAAAAATGTGGCTACTTAAAAGACGTGGGGTCACGACCTGCTCCCCCAGTGCAGCAGTCTCCCCAGGCCAAATGTCCGGGTCCCTCTTTGGACCGCCCCCCGTCCTTACCCTGCCCAGGGCAGCCCCAGCTCATCCCAGCTTGCTGGAAGCTTTCAAGCCGTGACTCACCACTCCTGACATGTCTTTTCAAACCCCCAAAGGCTCTTGGCTCCAGCCACTGATTTCTGTTGGATTTGAGAAGAGCAGATAGAGCTGGGTGTCTGATGCTAAAAAAAATCCCGAACCCTAGAAGCAACAGCAGAGGCGTAATTTGTTGTGGGATTAATTCTTCCACCTCAGTGCAAACCTTAATGAGCCAAAGTCAGTATCTTGTTCCTCCTGTGACACTGTGTTTATTTACAACGAGCTGCCTGCCTGAGGCAGGATTGATAGGAGCAGAGCTCCTGTGCGCAATGCTTATCCAACGCATTAATGTCCTGAGACTTTGATCTCA